ACGTACTCACACCACATCACTCCCTTCCCAGTTCTACCTCCCGCGCCGCTGGTCTCGTCAACACGACCTCGAGCACTCCCTCCTTACGCCCACGCCTCGCCTGCTCTACCAACGCTTCCCTATCCCTTTTCCAAGCCACCTCATCGACCAGCAAGTCCATCAGCCCCCTGGGCGGCAGCCGTCTGACGCGCCTCTGTGATAGCAGCGCCTCCTCAACGACCAGCAGCGCCGACGCAAGCGCCGAGACGGTGATGGCGGGCGACAGGGAGGTGTAGCGCAGCGTGAGGTGCAGCTGGGGGAGGGTGTGCGAGAGGAGGAGCGGAGTCAGGTGGCCGGCGAGGAGGATCCAGTAGAGCGTTGTCGAGTGCACCGGCTTGTGGGTGATGTCGTCGTTAGCGTCGTCGCCGTCGGCGGCGGCGGCGGCGGCAGCAGTGTCGTCGAAGTCGTTGTCTGCGTCGTTGATGTTGTCGCTGTTGCCGTGCTGCGCCGCCTCCCCGTCTCCCATCACCGACTTCGCCGACCTGAGCGACCTCCAGTCCCGGCACAATACGCCTTCGCGCAAGAAGTCCCACTCCACCACCGTGCGAATGCATCTGAGGCCGCGAAACCGCGCCAGCGTGCGCCACAGCGCCACCAGCTCGTCCAAAACGCTCACCTGCTCGCGATCTTCAAAGTCGCAGATCGCGGCCGTGTCGTCGGCGTGCTGCGCCCGCTGCCAGTGCGAGAAGCGGCCACAGTGGCGACACAGCAACAGTCCAGCGGGGCGGGCAAGGGGCGCGTCGAACTCGATGTAGCGCAGCCCCCACGTGAGAGTCGTGACGGTGGGGCAGGCGGAAGCGACATCCGTCAGGTACTGAGTCACGAGCGCGGGCGGCACGGCGAAGCGAAAGATTTGCGAGGTCCAGAGGACGCGGGTGGCTTCGGCGCGCACGCTACGCGAGACATCGAGGAGCGCGATGTAGAGGCGCTGGGTAGGCGTGTTGGTGTAAGTTTGCGCTAGGTAGGGTGTGCGCTGTGTGAGAGAGATCGTGCCCGGGCGTGGGGCTAGGGAAGGCGCCTGTGGGTCGGCGGAGCTGGTCAGAACGTGGCCGTAGATCTGGTCGCGAAGCTCGAGTGGGAGAGCGAGGAGATAGGAGGGAGGTTGAGGTGCTCCGTGCGACCCATGGACGAGGACGGGGGAAAGCGCGGTGTCCGGTTCGGCGGTGTTCTCCATGATGAATGAGTGTCTGTGAACGGTGGGTCGAACTTGGAGATGCGCGGTAGAACGAAAAGACGGGTGAATGGATCGATGAACCGAGACCCTCGTGGGATAACTAAGTAGGCAAGTGAGTGATTGAGTGATTGAGTGATTGAGTGATTGAGTGAGTGAGTGAGTGAGTGAGTGAGTGAGTGAGTGAGTGAGTGAATGAAGGAACAGAGAAGTTGAAAAGAAAAGCGGAGCAAATAAGTAGAGAGGGATGATGTAGAGAAGACGCTGCCTCCACTTCGATGGAAAGCATAGGTTGTGGGGGTTAAGGTTTCGCTGGCCCTCGTCTCTAGTAAATCTACCCTTCTTGTAACTAACGGCTCTAAGAAGGTATCCATAAATGCTATACCACTCTAGTAGCCCTGTGTTACCTAGATGGCAAGACATGGTTGTCATATCTTCTCAGCCTCGATTATGACAACAGTGTGCTCTGTGAATATGTCTGTTCTTTATAAGTGCAACAACATTCTCATGTTGCGCGACAAAGGCATAGGGTTTAGCGAGTGCCATCGAGCAAGAGCACGACTTTGCCTCAACGCATCGAGCGGACAGGCAGTGAAAGCAAGGCATCGCTCATGTCTGCTCCTCTTTCACATCTTTGACCGGGTGCAAGAGCATGCCAGGTAGGCACATTCGGCCGTGCTCTCTCTCCCACTAGAAGACACCAAATCAGCCTAAGAACTACGAGCGGTAACCATTGCACAGAAGCCTAAGGATATACTCCAGCATCGTAGAGAAACCCAAAAAACCGGAGCTCACGGAGACACGTACCTCTTCTCCGCCCACATTCCCTAGTCCGTCTTCTGCCTTCCAACCCAACCACCTTCGGTACAATACCTTTGGAAAATAGCTCATATAGTACCAACTCCAGCCCTTGAAGTTGACTTCTCTATCACGATTATACACGCTGTCCACCTCCGCCCCCCACCGTGCCGCCTTGCCACCATCGGCATTGAACACGGCGTCCAGGTACCATGCGGGCCACTTGCGGTCAAGCCAAATCGGGTGCGGTGCGTACACGGCTTTCAGGCCGTGCTGGAGGGCAACCGTCGCCGGCCACATCTCCGCCTGCATGGTGCGGCCGGCTTCATTCTCAACGTGCATGGCGTGCAGTATTGTCTTGGAGAGACGCACTTGAGTGTTTATGGAGACACGGCGCGGGAGCGTCTCGAAGGATGGGTCATAGAAGCTAGGATCCAGAGGGTTGTCTGGGGAGAAGTGGGGTGATTTGCCCTCGGCGAAGTTCCAGATTTTGTGCTTGAAATCCCACCCCGTCTTCATCGGATCCCAGATCGGTTGGAGAGTGATGAGGTCCGCTTCTTCGTTGACACCCCACGTATAGTTGTCCTGGTCACTCGTGCGTGGTGAATTGGGTCCGAGGGGTTCTTGCTTCGGCGAGTACGACTGCGGGCCCCACACAGGTGTGATCAAGCCTCTAGAAGTGGCGTTTGCAATGATTGAATCAGTGTCGCCAATGTAGTCCTGGTAAGTGCCATGAACCTCGGGGAAGTAGAATCGTTGATTCCGCTCCCATAGATGTTTGCGTGGCACATTGCGGGAGAAGGCGGCGATCTGTTCGAGGAAGTGATAGTGGTTACCAACGTAGCGAGCATCCGTCTCCCAATTCCAGACGTAGTCGAATTCGGGGTGGATCTTGGAAAACCATTGGAGGGGCATGAACTGATGCCAGTACACTTGCCAATCTACAACGGTATGTTACTGGATGTCCCCAAAGTCGGCCGGCCCATGAGATGAGTCTGGGTTTCGACTAAGAAGCAAAGGACGAAGAAGAAGTAGTAAGACGCTTTCTTACTTACCACCAATACCCGGGTACCATTCTGTGCAGAGCTTCTCGTTCCACAAGATCGAGATATCTCTAAACTCCTGTGGAACCGCACTCTTCAAGACATCGCGGTACACCTGGTCATTTTCGAAGATCGGTGCATTGTAATCCTTGACGTTTACAAAGAGAAAGACCTGGTATTCGCCGCCAGAAAGCAACGACAGCTCGGTTATCAAAGCACGTATGGCTTGGAAGTCGTTCTGCGTGTAAGAGTACCCTTCCCATGTCCGAATCAGAACTGCTGTGCGGCTCTTGAGAGAGTCAGTGAAGAGCATCTCAACAATCTCGTAAATAATGCGCAAAACAGAATTCAGAACAAAGCCATCAGACAGTGCACTACAGGTACAGGATGTCAAGAAAGAAGAGTACTCTTGGTATGCAAGACGGCTTGGTTTACTGACCTTGTATGCCGGCCCACTACTTTCTCCCTTACTGATCGTTGATTGCACGTCCTCCTTCGTCAAGCCTCTCCTCGGGGCCAACACGATCTTAAACCTCGCATCCGGTTCATACCGGTCCTTGTTACTTAGAAGGCACTCGTTCTGCAACTCTCCCCACCGGACATTACTCCAATCTATCTTCGCCCTCGGGTTGGTCCAACCTGGTATCTCTTCTCGGTCGTCTCCAAGGCCGTACGGTCCATATCGAGAGTACCGATCAAAACAAATACCCTCATCTAGTCCTATGGCTTCTGCAGAACCTACGGATGGCGAAGGGAAACCAGTCGGAAGACCCTGGTAGGTCTGAATTATATCATCTCGACTCTCGTTAAGAAACTTTCCCCTAGCGCCTTTGCAAGTAACGTGTTCGCCCTTCCATTGCTTCCTCCGTGTTTCCTTATTATACTCAGGGTACGGCAGGTACGATAGGGGAGAAGTGACCGGTTGGTCCTTCAGTTGCTTGGTTCGATCGCTCCAGTAGTATCCGTTCTCCCTAGCCTTGATGTCAATGAACGCCCACACATGTTCACCCAATATACGGTGGAACTCCTACTGTTCGAAAGCTTCCCACCGGTTGGGGTCATAGTCTGTATTTGTGTAGTCCGCATAAGGCGGGTAGTGGTAAGGCTGGTCAGTTGGACGATCCCATTGTATCAGTCCCTTGATAAGAGCTTGCAATTCTGCCTTCGTCTTGCGTGGGAGAGCTGTGAGTTGAGGATTTGTCGTCTTGTTGTGTGTCACAAGCAGTAATGGCGAAGTAGCCGTTGGTGAAGATCTAGCTCCTGACTGTGCCGACTGGACGTTTGTGGCAGAAGTTTTCTCTTGCAAAGTCTCGAATGGATGGAACCATGGCGTCTCTGCTGACGGGACGGCTACGTCGAGTGGTGAAGGTCGTTCAACGGAAGCTTCATTTGCCAGCTTCTGCTCATCCGAGGGGCGATCAGACGTGGGAGAATCGTATTGCGGAACGTGTCGTGAGTGTCTAGAGTTTCGTATCGAAACAATAGAGGTGAGGAAAAGAAACAGCGCCAGCAGCGACAGCCTCCGCGCCGACGCAAAGCGTCCGAGCATCCCCGGAAAGAGGAACTACGACAAGGAAAAGGCTGTCAGAGGCGTTCGTGGTCGTACATCGTCATGGTATCTAGGTCTCAATAAGAGCGAGTGAGAGGAGGCCCTGCTCAGGATATGAGAGACCACATAAGGCCATATTGGCGTCGAATCGAAACGTAGTGGTGGAAGACCAATCTGCGACGTTTGCTCCGTTTGCAGCGTTAGTTTCCGCTAGTGGAAGCTTGATCCAACGGCTGCCTTGCGGGTGGCTGCATGATTTTTGAACGTCGAGACGGGGTCACAAAAGACGTCCAAAGCAGTGCCAAAAAAGCTGCAACAACCGCGTAACTCCCAAAAGGGTTTATAAACAGAGCAGACATCGTTTTGGGACATGCACTGTGCTATAGAAGCCCAAAAAGGAAGGTCGTGCCCGGAATCGAACCGGGGTCGCCGGAACTTGCTGTATGACGTCAGAATCCGAAGTGCTGACCGCTACACTACACAGCCGTTAGTAGAAATATACTCTCGTCTACATATATATATATAATTTCGAATTGACCCATTACTAAGCAAAGTGGAGCTAATCGTTTCTCGCTAAGAAGATTTTGATGTACGAGCTCCGGTAAGTCGTCTTAGACACACAATCAGGCCTTGGATCGACTCAGGATGCACATTTAGTCCAACTCAGATCGACACACAGTTGGTCAATGGTGCAGCAGATGCTAATAAAGTCCAAATCCCGAATCTGGGTACGACCTGGAAACATCATCGTTTTTGGCTCACCGCGGCGACCTCCACAGTCTTCCCGGATTGCTGTCTCACTCGCTGGTATGATTGAGGATGGATCTCTACTTGTATAGAGGACGAGAATTCGAGCTACAGTACATCATACAACGGACGTAGTAGAGCTATTCGGGCTAGTACTCGTCAACATCAAATCGCCCCGCAGTTCACCCCGTAGCTCTACCATTTGTTTTGTCAACCGCGTGTTGTCCATAACAGATACCTCCAGTCAGAGAGATCAACGCCCTCGTCGGATACCCTTGCCTGGTCCTAAGCATTGTCCGAATCCTAATCGGCGGCAGCCTTCGTGCGGCTAGTAACGAGGTCCGATACGCGGTCTGCACCTAAGGTGTTGCGACAACGTCAAAGTCGTGAGTTAGAATCCGAGCTTGGATTGCGGGCTGAAGCGACCTGGTGTAGACTTGGGTGCAAGATGCGTTCTGAAGCAAGCCCAAGACACACTGGTTGCTCTGTAGCCCGTCATGTTGTGCTGTTATATCCGCAGTCCTGTAGACACGCAATTTCTCGCTCTCTCATAACGAATGTTGCTGACATGGTCTGTCGACGGTCGGGAAAGCGCTCCAAATGACGACGTCCAATGCAAAAGCTCCACGGTATGGATGTTGTCTCTTCTTTGTCCAGGTTCCATCAGTGTTTGAGTCGACGCGTTGATCGGTGCAGTGCGGGTAGGTAGTCAGACTTGGCGCCATCCTGAGACTGGTCTTGCGCAGGCAATCGAGGAGCGTCCAAGTTCGTCACGTTCGAGCTGAGTGCGCTGTTCGCGTCGGCTGCGAATTTCCTGTCAGAATTCCGTGTGGTGTCGGAGTCTGGAGCTTAGGGATAGTGTGGAAGCCCTTTCTGAGTTCGGTGGAAGTCCACGATTAATTCTCTACTGTTCTCCAGCAGGTCCTCATCCATCCATCCGTTATACTGTGATCTTTAGTCTGTCCATTTGACCAGGTACTCAACGATCTGTCTCTTTCTCCGGCCATTGCCGAGTGACCGAAGTCGTCAATTGATGATGCGCTTGATTTCGAACGACTGCCAGTCGTCGGATCCACACCTACTGCCATAGCTGGCGTTTGCAGTCATCCGTCCTCTCGAACTCGTCCAGGAGCTGCTCTCGTTGTTTTGGTCGCTTGTGGTACTCGTACTCCTTCCCGACGGCTCTCGTGAGGGAAAGCAATGCTTTCTGCTGAACCCGAATCTCAGTTGGCCCCAATGTCACTTCGCCATCGTTCACTTTCCACGTGCGGGAATTAGCGAGGTACGCTAGTCTCCTATTTCAACGCATGAATTTTCTCTTCTCGACCTACAACATTCATCCATTCTAAATAGCAGCAAAACATGACACGAACCATCCCACCTAACGTTAACACAACATCCACGAGGAGACGGATGTGGCCCGCGGCACCCGAATACTCCTTGTATCGCAAATGATGCTGCTTAAACCACCGACTACTGCCTGGAGTTTACAATATCCTTTCTACTACTGGCTATAGCCTAAGTCAATGGCCCGATACTGACGTGCGATCCACGTGCGAAAATCAGCGAGCTTTGACGCTAGTCTCTTATCTTAACGCGTCAATCTTCTCTTCTCGACCTACAACATTCATCTATTCCAAATAGTAGCAAAACATGACACGAACTATCCCACCTAACGTTAACACAACATCTACGAGGAGATGGATGTGGCCCGCGGCACCCGACTACTCCTTGTATCGCAAATGACGCTGCTTGAACCACCGACTACTGCCTGGAGTCTACGATATCCTTTCTACTACTGGCCATAGCCTAAGTCAAACATGCTCGTTACAGTTGAACGTGCTCCTTACATAAAATCAAGAGAGCTAACACGGCTGCGTGGCACTCTGTCTCTTTTTGCTTGGTCTGTTGCCGGGGTGCGTCGTCATGCGATCCACCTGCGCCTTTCATCTCCTCATGCATTTGTGTCTCTTCCACCTATATCTGCAGCTCATACTACTGGCTATCGACTAAGTCGAACGTGCTCGTTGCATGGCCCGATACTGACGTGCGACGCAAGCCGCTCTCTCGTCCCTACAAATTGTTTATCACACCCTTCGCATGAGAGGGAGGCGGCTACAGGTCCCTGGTCATGGCAGTTGAGGTACTTGTGCGGTGAAAACGATAGCTAGTAGCAGAAGCAGTATAAGTTCTACTCACTGCCGCTCTTATAGCTGGCTACCGCTCGAGACATGCGAGCGCCACTGCTACACGATACAGCTCCTAGATCTTGGGCAAATAGCCCGCATGGTGCACGAGGAGACGCTCGTGCCGAAGTGATTGTGATAGTGCACCCTCGTTCCTCACCTAAGGTTCGTCGTGGGAGATGTAAATCTTAGACATTTGTGAGTAGGGAAGAACCTAGCTCAGCCACAAGGTGTGAGTTGACGCAGTAGGATGTGGGTACAGATTGTGGAGCGTGGGCCTGGCGGCTCCAGTTTGAGCGCCTTGTAAAGGACTGCGTGACTCGCCGTGAATCCGTCACAGAGCCGAGCGGCTGTGAAATGTCTCTGCCTCGCTGGTCCCGATTCGGCTCCACGTGACGCCCTGTCAGTCTGAATCCTCACTCCACAGCTCCGGCTCGCAACTCAAGCGTGGCGCCTTGTCTACCTCACGGCACCACAGCCGCTCATCTCCAGTCCTGGAGCCTATCTCTTGACCCCTACAACAACCAGGTTCCTCGGACTCTGTGCGTACTCGAATACCGGCTCAACCCAGGCCGCTCTGACCTCCGGTTGCTCCTTTAGGAAGAGATACCTATCGACGACGATCACGGCTTCGATGACGCCAGCGCTGAAAGCCATAAGACTCCACATTATGCTGAGCTCCTTTTTTCGCTCCTGGTACCGATGCTCGTAGTCCTGAATATCCGCGTCACCAACACCACTGAGGCGCCGTTGCTCGAGCACGCCACGCTCGGAGTCCTGTGTTGAGAGTTTGGCAATGGCGCCGCGGACGTAGGATGTGAAGGAATCGTAGCAGGACTTGCGGAGGGAGCCGATGATGAGGGGTTGTGTGCCACTGTTGCCAGTGCTGTTCTCCTGGTCACTGCCATTGTCGTCGTCGACTTTTGGCGCGTCGACAATGCCGTAGTCGAGAAAGATCCTTTGCAGCAGAGCGCGAAAGAAGTGGCGCTTGAAGAACGCCTCGCTATCTTTCTCGCCCCAGTTCTGCGGTGCTTGGACAGCCATCATGCGGGCTGTGATGTTCAACCTGATGCCTTCTTCTTTATTGCTGGTTTTGTAGCTACAGAGGCGATCAGACATCGGAAATCCGTGCGGATCGCAGGCAGTAGATGTTTCGACGAGTCTTGGGTGGTTCGGACGTAGGGTGGGGAGTTTGTAAGATGGAGGACCTAGACGCTCGGTCATGAGGTTGTAGCAGCAGCCGACTAGCGCGACAGATTGCACGGAGGGATTTTGGAGGAGGGACCGAATACCGTGGTGGACGAGATTACCGCAGGAGTGGAGGGATATAACCATGAGGCGAAGCTCGGTGTCCCGATCGGCTGTCAGTGGCTTTCCCTTGAGGAGTGGGTCTAGCTGCTGTGTCCCTACGCTGTTGGCATACGCCTTTGCTGCTGTATCGAGGTTGGGGATGATCTGTTTGATGACAGATTCCAGGTTTCCGTCTTCGATTCGGTGTTCGACGTATTGGATGCTTCCTCGACCCTCCACAGAAGGTTGCACGATAGCTCTTCCCAATTCAATCTGTGCGATGATCTTGTCCGCGTCTTCATGGATCTGTAGAGCAGTCTTCCGCTTGAAGGATGTCTTCTTATTGGCTGCCTCCATTTCAGCCCGGTACTCTTTCTTGTTGCGCAATACTTGTTCCTTCACAGCAAGCTTTGCAGTTACGTCGTAGAACTTGGCGCCTTCGATATTGTGCGGCCTACTTTCAATGGCCACTACATGCTTGTCGTAGGGCTGACTCGCGAGAGCTCGGCCTAAGTAGTTCTGGCCAGACCCGAAATCTACGAGATGAGTGATGCGCCGGTCTTGCGAGTCTGCTATATTTGCAGTCAGCTTGTCTATAAAACGAGCAAAGTGGCTAACTTCGTGTATCTTCTTCACGTTCATTCCCACGGCTACGTGACGTGCTAGAGCTTGTGGAGTGGAATCTTCAGCGGCGGTAAAATCTCGCTTCAGGAGATGCATCCGAACGTCACGGATGTATTGAAGCAATCCTGGTGGAGGTGAAGACTGCTCACGCGGAGTCTTTTCTACGGACTCTTCGCCACGCTCGTGCTGGGACAAAGCAGAGATATCGAATTAGCTTAAGTCCGTCCGCATCAGAAGCTCAAGAATCTCCATGATATCTTGGGTTTTGAACCACTCGCGCCATGCTTGAGGAAGTACCATTGCGTACAGATCTGGCGATCTTGTGAAGAAATCTAGAATGTGGACTCCACCACAAAGAGTTTGCAAGAGCTCTGAGGATGTAGCGAAGTCCAGTAGAGAGTTTACATAGTCTTCCGCATTCGTGAAAGCATCCGATAGCGGAAGAGGCTTCTCGGATCCCATTGTTGCAATCCCAGCCAACTGAAGGGTCCTACTTTGCCCAACTCATCTGCAGGTCTTAATCCTTGCTCTTGAATTAACTCAGAGCTCTCTTGCTTCGGCTTCGAGGTTTTGTTCCGTATTGTGTGCGTTCTCTGAAGCTCCAAATACTCGACGTGAGGAAAGACTTTCGATATCACG